GTTGCAGTGTATAAGATCAACATATCAAAAAATTAGTGTGTTTCTATACATTAGCAATGAACAATCACAAAAGGAAATTAAGAAAACAAGTCCATTTACAATAGTATTTACAATAATTTAAAACTTGGGAGTAGATCTAACCAAGGAGGTGTTACACTGAAAACTTGTACACTGAAAACTACAAAACAAGGCTGAAAGATATTAAAGAATACGTCAATAAATGGAAAGACATCCTGTATTCTTAAATAGGAAGATTTAACATTATTAAGGTCAATACCACCAAACAATCTACATATTTAACACTATTCCCAACAATATTCCAACAGCCTCTGGCACAAAAATGGAAAATCTGATTTTGAAACACATATGGAATTGCAAGGAACCCCAAACAGCCAAAACTATCTTGAAAAAGAATAAACTGTACAAGTCACACTTCTTGACTTCAAGACTTGCAAAGCTACAGAAATTAAAATAGTATGGTACTGGCATAAGGGCAGACATATAGACCAATGGAAAAGAATAAGAGTCCAGAAATAAACTCTCACATATATGGTCAATTGATTTTCAAGGACTGTGCCAAGACAATTCAATGGGAAAAAAGACAGTGTTTTTAACAAATGGTGCTGGGAAACCTGTATATCCACATGTAAAAGAATGAAATCAAACCCTTACCTTATACCATATACAAAATTTAACTCAAAATGGATCAAAGACCTAAACTTCAGAACTAAAACTATAAAACTGTAAGAAGAAAATATTGGAGAAAATCTCCACAACACTGTTTTTGTCAATGATTTAATGGATACAGCATGAAAAACACAGGCAACAAAAGAAAAAAATAAACTGGACTTCACCAAATTATAAAATTTTGTACATCAAAAGACACTATCAAGAAATGGGAAAAAATATTTGCAAATCATGTATCTAAAACTGGATTAATACATGCAAAAAAAGAAAAAGTCAAAGATCACACAATCTTATCTATGACAAATCATCTTTAATCCAGATATAATAAAGAATGCAAAAATGCATTAACAAGCTTACACACACTAAAAATGTAAATCAAAACCTTATCAAATGAGTACTGTGTATGTCAAACACTTCCAGTAGCTTTTTGAAAGTAGTATTTGAAATTTGCCTAGGCTTGAAGCCTAAGAACAAATTTCTTTCTGGAAAAACATGTCACTAAAAAACTTCTTCCTAAATTATATCTGCAAAGCACACACATACACACACAAAGGCAATGAATCATTATCCAATAACCTATACTACTTCTGAATCTTGTGCATTAGGTATCTGGACATGCAGAAATAAGCATTGGTCTTTTTTTTTTTTTAAGTCTGATAATATGGCTGAAATAATGATAAAGTCAACTGTGCACCCAAGGTTACTCACATACTAAGCTGTATGTATCTGGGTCTGATACCCAGAACATTATATATCTGATTGAAGAAGTATTTATAAAATTGAAAATCAGTAAAGGGTCATAACTTCATCAACAGAACAAAAATTATGAAAACTTTAAGTGATAAAAAAATCAAAAGTATACAATTAATCTATTATCTCTTCAACTGTGTGTTCAGAAGGTGATTACAGCACAGCAAGCCAAAAAACTGGGCCACAAGCAGAGATACAGTGGGTGATTTGCAAGATACTTATTCAGCTAAAGACAATCTACAGGGCAAACAGATGTAAGTATTCAAACAAGGTGGATCAGCATCCATTTCATATTAAAAGCTCAATAAACAACAAAAGAGATTTTTGAAAAAGTCTTTCAATGGGCTTACCAACAGACTGGCATAATAAAGAATCAGCAAAGTTCAAGTACAGTCAACAGAAATTACCCAAACTAAAATACAGAAAGAGTTAAGGGGGAGGGGTAGTAGGGAAAAAGAGCCACCTGAAACCTGAGAGACAATAGCAAACAGTTTAAAATACACATAACTGGAGTCCCAGAAGAGAAAGAAATAGAGAAAAAGGTAGGAGAAATATGTGAAGAGATAAAAGCAAAAAATTTCTGATTTGGTGAAATATCTCTTTTCAAACCCCAAAAAGCAAAGCCAATCTCAAACAGGATAAACACAAAGAAAACCATATCTAGAAGAAACAGGGAAAGGAATGATATTTTTTCTGTATATCATCTTTTTTGTATACTTTTGTCTAGTCCACAAATCAAAAAAAAAAAAATCAACCAGAATGAGACATCGAGGGTGGGGGGTGGGGGCAGGAACACACAACCCTAAAACTGGAAGGCAAACAGAATAAACCTAAATATACTGAATTTCACATAAAAAATATAACCACACTGAGGGTGAGGGGGCTGAAGGGGAGCTAATTTAGTAAACTGTGAAGAATATTATTATTAAAAACACTTAGTTTAGGAAGGAAAATAATTGCTAACAAATCCTGAACTCCTTTGGGTAGTTTTGTTTTCCCTAACAGTAAGGAAGTAGCAATTCTGAAACAATTTTGTTTGTATTGTAGGATCAAGTAAATGAGTAAATATACTGACGTTGTCAGAAGCCAGGGTTCTCACTGTGGAAAAAGACAGACAGATATAGAGAATGGGGGAAGCTGAGAGAGGAACTCAATGGGGCCAGAAAAGAACTGGAGGTATCAGTATGAACTCATGATTTCTTGTGTTCAGGGTGTGTATGTGTGCTGTCCACTGAAAGGCCCATAAGCAATGTCATCTTATGAATAATGAACATGCCTAGTGCCAGATCTTGGTTTCTTCAAACCACCCCACATTAAAAGGATCCAGGTCCTTGGAAAAATACCCAATTCCAGGACTGAAGTAGGAAAGATACAAGATGGGACTGAAATATCTTACTATGCCAGAAAGTAAGGACGTGCTCAGAAAAAATGACATACCAAAAGGACACAGGAGCCAACTGAAGGGACTCCTGCTGGCCAAATCTGAGGAAATTTGAACAAAAAAATTAAAAAAAAAAAAGTAATGGATTATAACCTGTTGAACAAAATAGGAACTGTAAGTTACTCCTGTATTAATAGATACAGTAGAATACTGACTGATAATTGTAGAGTTAGAAAATCACCATTCCACAACCATCGCAGCACAGGTTAGTTCACGCAAGATGCAATGGATGACAATTCTAGGAGGGAGAAGGTTTGAGAAGGAGCTTAACTGCATGGTCTCAGTGTCTCCCCAGAAATTGCTTCTTAGTTGCAAGAAGAAAAACAGTAACTAAACAGTGGGAAAACCAATGATTAAAATCAATGATGGGCTGATAGACAGTGCATGTCTCTGAACGTGATACCCTGAAAAGAATACAACATCTATGTATTATTTTGAGAGAGGACATATAATCTAGATCTAATCATGAAGGAACATCAGACAACGTCAAACTGAGGAATATTCTATAAAATAACTTACTTGTATTCTTCAAAAATGTTAATGTCATGAAAATCAAAAAAAGGCCAAGGAACTGTTCCACATTAAAGACTAAGACATTAGAATTAAACATAATACAATATCCTGGATTAGATTTATAGACTATACAGAAAAATAACTGCTATAAAGGACATTATCAGGATAATTTATGAAACCTGAATAGACTATAGATTAGAAAACACTATTCAAGGTTAAATTTCCTCAGTCTGGTAACTGCATTGTGTTTATGTAAGAATATCGTTGTTCTTAAGAAAAAACTCACATATCAGGCAGCAAAAGAACATGATATATACAAATTTATCTCTCAAATGGTTTAAATAATAATTGTGTATATGTACAGCAGTAGACAAACATATAAATAGGGTAAGGAAGAAGGGAGGGAAGTAGGAAAAGAAAATAAAAAAGCAAATGTAAAATGCTAAGAACTGGTGAATTTAGGTAAAGAATATATGGGAGTTCTCTGTACAATTCATACAATTTATCTCTAATTTTGAAGTTATTTCAAAATAAAAAAATTTCTAAAAGGTAAGGGAGAGAAGGGATACATACAAATGTACTGAAATTTCTGGATGGATACACCCAAACTTAAAGATGTCAATCAATGAAGAGAAGAAGGAGATAAGGAAAAAGAGCCTCTCTACAAACATCCTTTAAATGACAGACTGAATTCCATCCAGTGGTTCTCTTTAAATATACATGCCCTCCAAGTCAGGTTCTTAATCTGGGATCCATGGACCCAAGAGGTCAATGGACAGACTTCACTGTATCTATGAAGGGGGTGGGAAAAAATTACATTTTAATCTCATTAAACTTTAACTGATATTTTTTTTCACGAATTACAAATGTAGGCAACAAACAATAGCAGTTTTAGGAGTACCTGTGACTTTATCACAAATAGGAATCATACATATTTTCACTTCCCATTAGCTGTTCAGATTCTCAAAATAACATATACTACTGTTCAGTTATTTTCAAAATGCATTAACACTTCCTGCTATATTTTTATTTAATATGATACATGATAAAATGCAGGTTATATCATAAATTTGCTTTTTAAGCATTTTGGTAACTGCATTTTAAAATAACTGGTGTCTTCGTAATCCTATGCATTTTATTTTATTCATTTATAAATGTTATTCTGAAAAAGAAACCATGGGCTTCAGATTGCTCAAGGTTTTCGTGGCAGAACAAAGTTAAGAATCTCCACTCTGAGCTATAGATCTCTCATTTGCTTACAAGTATGTCATAATGAGGAAAATTAAAAGTTTGCAGCTTTTTGCTCTGCCATAAAGCAAACTATAAATAGACATCGTTGATCATGAAGATTCACTCTAATCTTCTCATTATTTAATTTCTAGATAGAGTAATTTCCCATAGTGCTAGAACAATAATTATTCAAAACATTAACTGCAATCTTCCCACAGACAAAGCATCCAAAAACAAATATACTACCACACACCCACACATGAAAAAGTACAGGAACCGAGCAAGTATAAAAATGAGTCAAGACTTGTGAAATGTCTCTTAGAGAAACTCAGTGGTTACATATTTTAAAGAAAATGTTTAAAAACAAGATACTATTTACCATCTCTCTTTTGGAAAATTTTTTAAAATTTCTTTAATGATTGGCTGGTAGCAAGCATCCCTTTCTGCTTTCCCAGTTTCACTCCAATCTCTCACAAACTGTTTCAGTGTGGACTTTAACTTATCCATGTCAAATGTAGATGCCGGCATAATCTTTCCATTCCCCTGTTTAAAAAACAGAAATCGGTTAGAGTCCAAGAAAGTAATCAACCTTGAATATGGTTAAATAAACATGCTACTAAGGGGCTACACGGATGGTTTAGTGGGTAAATCACTAGCCTCTCACCTCAACTGGGGCTCAAATGCAGCTTGAGATCCTAAATGAAAAGAGATTGGTGGTCTCACTTCTACTCTCAATAGATTATGGTCCATTAATCATGACACCACCATATAATTAAGCAGTCTTTACTCAGGAGAGGACCAGAACTGAGCTGCTATGGAGACTGAACATTTTCTCTTTCTCTCTAAGAGAGGGAAGAAAGTCCCTCCAGGTCAGTGATGGGGCAGCATGGATAGGCTCACACTGGAGTGGCCCAACTGTATCTATCCTGTAGATACAAAAAGAGGACTTCAGTTTCTACTACTGCCGGTCCCTTAAGATTTATATGTGAAAATAGTTTTTTAAAACAATAGATCAATAGATACAAGATTCTGAAAATAATGTTTAGCAAGGGAAAATTAATTTTACATAGCTAGTAAAGGTGTTTATAAAAACGTAAGTTACTAACTCTATATGCCATAATAGAACACTAGGTGAAAAACAGGTCAAAATGCCAACAATTATCTTAGCATTTTTAGGGAAAAAAAAAAATCAGAGAACAAATAGTTTGTGGCATACTATTCTATTAAGCCTAATAAAATGACTGAACATATAAGTAAAAACATTATATAGAGCAAATGACTCATGCAAAATTATAAAAATGAAATCTAGAAAGATAAAGACCTCAAAATATAGAGGTTAAACCCTAAAATAAAAACAAATAGAACAAACTTTCACATACATCTTCTCCATATTCTTTATTTTCAAACATATGTATGCAATCATTCACAATGGTCAGTAGTATTTCTTGATTATGATCAATGCATTTCCGGATCTTGTCCAAGTGAAGAAGAAACTGAGGAAGCAGTTTCTGTTGATTAGTTGGAAGTGATCGAAACTGTCTTTCTGTTCGGTGTACTCGCTCATGCATACTGGTGCTAAAACATAAAAGGTGTTTTTTAAATTGGCAAAAGAATTCTCACCAGAGGCCAATCTTATTTTAAGGCTTTCTTCCTGTACAATTATTCCCTTATAATGTTGGGTATTACCTTGTCATTTACAATCTTATAGTTTCTTAAAGGATATCAACTTAAGAAGTTTTATATGTTTTCACCTTATTACAAACTCTCTAAGCAACCAAACAAAAGAAATAGTTTAAAACATCTGCACCAATTAGAAGGGAGAAAAAAAGGAAACATAAAGAGGATTAATGCACAGTAAGTTTATTTTTATGATTTCAATTTCCAAAATTAAGCAGCTGAATGCTTTAGATTTCTCCATCAAGTAGCAGAATGCTGCTCCGAAATTACTTTAGAATATACATAAGATGTGTTTTGAAATTAAGAGCCAATCAAGTTGAATTTTTAAAAATATCATAAAAGATCTTATGTATTACAAAAGTGGTAAACAAAGGAAAAATGGAAATTCTATAGCTTTTTACAAGACAATACTCACATTTTACATTTCAAAAGTTTCCAAATAACTCTAAAGGTCACTCTGAAGACTATCTATTTATAAAACCTAAAAAGAACATCATTTTCAAACATTAAGTATTACACTCACGATGAAATGTCACTTTACATCAGTCAGACAGATGGGCAGAATTTAAAAGCCTGACTATATGAAATATTGGTAAAAATGTGAAAGAAGTAGAATATTTATATACTGATTGATGGTTGGTGAATAAATCAGTACAACCACTTTGGAAAATTTAGCATTAGCTAGTAAAGCTTCATATGCACACCCCGTATGATTTAGCAATTATACTCCTAGACACATACTCAAGAAACTCTCGCAGATGGGAACCATGACACATAAATAATCCTCATCACAGCACTGTTAGAAATAATAAACAAAAAATCTGGAAACAACCCGAAGTCCATCACCAGGTGACTGAACAAAGAAAGTACAATATAGTCATACAATGGAACACAGTTAAATTAATATATATAACTATACACAATAATATATATGGATAAAACTCAGGAACAAAATATTTGTTGAAAAAAGTTGCAGAAAAATACATAATGTACAATTCCATCTTATATAAAAATAAACAATATATTGTAGGGACTGTACATTTGTAGAAAAACTACAAGGAAAGTAAGGAAACAAAAATTTAGGAAAGTGATGTCCTTTAAGGGGAAAAGGTTAAGATAATGTTCTTCTTAAATTGGGTGGTAGGTGTCCACTACATCATTCTTTACATTTTACATATACAAACAAACACATAAATGCATGTTCCTTTTAAATGTTCTTTGGCATTTACTCAACATTAAATGGAAATGAAAATGTTTTTTCATTTGGTTGCCTGAATCTCTCTATTCATCCAAATAATTCTCTCATTTTTATCTTCTTATGTCAAATTACCAATTTCTGAACAGCCATACTTAAAGAAGTTCTGAGGAAGCTCTTGACAAAACTTAAGCAAAAACCTGGTCACATTTTTAGAAGCTTGTGTGTAGTGGTATTCTGAGGGTGGTTAGGGATAATGTGAAGCCAAGTTGGCCGTGGCTACACTAATGTTTGCTTTTTTCCCTCCTGGAGACAGTATAAGAGTGAGCTCTGAAGTCTAACAGATCTGGATTGAAATCCAGGTTATGCTGTCTATTTGCTATGTGACTCTTGCCAAGTTACTTCCTTTCTCTCTGCCTCAACTGTCTCATATACAAACACAAGGTAATATATAACAACAATGATGATGATTATAGAGGCTATGAGTTACTGAGAATAAATAAATGCCAAGCACTAAACCAAGTCACTTAACTTGAATTATTCTGAAAACTCTCCACAAAACCCCATGAGGTAAGTACACTATACTCCTGTCTAACTAATGGGTTTCATTGAAAATATAACAAAATAATGTACACAACACACTTAGCCTGGTGCTTACAACATAGTCAAAGCTCAAATATAGGAGGTATATTTAATTTATATGCCCACAGTGAAAATATGAACAATGCAGTAAAGTAAAAGCACTCAGGGGTTTTAAAAAAAAAGCTCCTAATAATTCCTCTTCTGGAGGAAACTACTTCTATGTTTTGGCATATTTCTCTCTGCTTTATTGTTGTTGTTTAAGACAAAGTCATCTAACACCTTTCGAGTCAAAATGTGGTGCAGACCACAGCAGATCACTGGGAAGTGGTAAGGAATGAGGAATCTCAGGTCCCATGTAAGACCTGAAATGTAATCTGCCTTTAACAAGATGTCCAAATGATTCACATGCACATTAAAGTTTTAGAAACACTTGGAATTCTTCATCCTTATCAAAAAAATTTTCCCAGGTCAGAAAAAAGTTCTCAAATGACAATAATGACTACTCATCATTCCATCTTATGCAACCAAAATTTACTTAGCTATTTTCCAAACACTGAGCCACCTAGATACTTTTACTTGTCTATGTAAATGATCTTCTTGTGTTCAAAATCTGTCTGTATTTTAGAGGGAAAAAATCACCACAAATTCCCAAAAGAATTACTAGGTCAGAAAAGATAAGTATTTTTACGGCTCTTGATAAAAACTGATTTTCAGAAAGACTGTATCAATTTAAATTCCTATCAGTAGAGTATGACACTAATGAACTATTTAGTTGGCAAACAGCAGAGTTGTAACAGTTTACAATTTACCGTCAACAGGTTAGTCTCATTGTAATTCTTTCCTAGTATTGCTGGGCACTGAATGCCCCACAACCTCCCTCTCACCACGCCTCAAAACTCAACATTTCTCAAAGTGAATGTAGCACATATCCCATCCAAAAAAACTTGCACTTTTTCCTACATGGCTGATATTGACGAATGGTCCACCAGAAAACCACTCAGGTCAGAAACTGATGAGCCATCGAAAATGCCTCTTCTCGCAGTCCACTCAATGAAGAAGCTCAATATCTTTCTGATTCTACTTCATAAAACTACCTGTAAATTACCCATCCTCCCAAGTTTTATCCCCAACCTATCATGTGTCTCCCAAAGATAAGTGAGGCTTGCTGCCTAAATATGCTGTCCCCAATTTACCCTCCTCCCACCTCCAACTAGATAAATTCTTCAAAGTACAAATCTCACCTTCCTCACTATTTAAACTCCATATTTCAGCATATGTAAAAAGCAATCAATAAATGTTAAGTTATGCTCCCTAGGCACCACTTTTGGTTCTCCTTGGAGACTACTTATTTCCATGACTGCAGGGGGGGTGAGTAAGTTATGTATTGGTTAGGAGAGCCCACACACACTTACTGTCAATTCCACATAAAAGTGATATAACTACAGAGCAGGATGAGATGAGGTATACCCCCTTAACCTTTAGTTACTTACTGGTGTCCAACCTGTCCATACCATACACCTACAAACCCCTCTCGAAATAAGTGAGGTCTTATTAAAATTGAGAAAAATCCAATCCTTACTATTGTGATTGGGGATAACTGCACTACTCTATAAATGCTTACATTATCACTGTGCTTTAAGACAGTGGTGGGCAAATTATCACCTCCTGGCTACTTGATTTATTTTTGTAAAGAGTTCTACTGGAACACAGCTATGCTCATTTGTTCACATACTGCCTGTGGTTGTTTTCACACAAGGGCAGAGTTGAACAGTTTTAACAGAAATCACCTAGCTCTCAGAGCTTAAAATATTCATTGCCTAGCTCTTTAAGGAAAGTTGGCCAACCTGCTTTAAAGGAATGTTTTACAACCTTCAGACTCTCCTTGGTTCTGAACTCAGTCAGCATTAAGAGGTCACATACTCTGGCATCTGAGGAGAGAAAGTAGTGTCAGCAGCCATATTTCCCCAAGGGTATCTCTACCTCCGGCTCTCTCTAGAAGGCTCATCTCATAGTGACCCCAACTCTGACTCAGTCACCTTTCATAAAGGTGGGTTCAATGTTGGATCAAGGCTAAGGTCACAGACTCATTCCTCTGCACCTGTTGAACTATTCTAGAACTTCAAACAGAAAAGCATACCTTTTCAGAAGGAAAGTTTGTCTCAATCCATTTAAAATATTTATTAAATAACCAAAGTTGAAACTGTTTTACTAGTATCACTGCTTACTAATGCAGGGTGAAGTTTTAGTGAATGATTTTGGATTTCAGGCCAGACTCTACCACAATTTGGTTGGGTACCACCTAGCTAAGTTGCTCACCTCTTTGTATACCTATCCCTTCACCTGTGAAAATAAGTTCTACATCTCAGCTTTTAAAATCCCACCTAAATGCTATTTCTAAAAGTAGGACATTTCTGACCAGACTCTTGGCTTTTCAACTGCAGTATTTCCTAAAATGAGTAGGTATCTTCATTCACAACCAGAGTAGTATTTTGAGGCTAATGTTTCTTGCTATTGAGTACAATCCTACAGCCATTTTTACCTTAGAATATGGCATCTAAGCAAGATCTGTAGGAAGCACAAAAGTGGAAGCCACTGGAAAGAGAAAATATTCATCAAAAGACATTTCTTGCCTTATGATCCTTATCTAAATCGCCTATATACTGACTAAAAGACAGTGAGCAGTAAAACCAAACTCTCTGAAATTTGGAAATATCTGCTAAAGGCTTCGAATAGGATTGCCCATAAGAACTTACTACAATGGTGGAAAGGCTTACATCCGCACGGTCCAATACACCAGATGCTAGCCACATGTGGCTACTGAGCACCTGAAATGTGGCTAGCGGAGAGTGAGGAAGGAGATTTTAAGTTTTATTAAATTTTAATTAACTCAAGCTTAAATGTAGCCATATGTGATTACTGGCTATGGTACTGGACAGTGCAGGTCTAGAAGATCATAAAATGTTGGAATGTAACAGTCTAGTGTTTTCTGCTACACAGTCTTTCTGTACCCTTAGTCCTTTACCTGATGTTTTTAAAAGCATATTTTAAATTGTACAATGTTTTCAGTATAGGGATTTGATTTTTTTCATCAAGAGAGTATATACAAATAAAAAGGATAGTTATTTTTTTAAAAATGAAAATTTCCTCAATCCCACATTGGTAAAGAAGAGGGATTAGAGTACAAGAAATTCTATCACAACCACCAGAACATGCACCCAGCACCCTTTTACATACTGCCACGCTTGGGTCCTAGTTTCAGGTCAAAATCCCCCATCCTCTCCCACAAAAAGGTCCATCTGACACTTAATCATAAATACCAATCCTGAATTAGTCCTAATATACTAGAATTGGGTACAAATGCACATTTTAACTTAACTGAGTCCACTACAGTCCCACATTTCCCAGTATTCTTTAGATTTCTCAACAGCAAAACGTACCAGGCTTTTCTGCACCTATCACTCTTAGCTATCTAATGTCAACTTCTTCCCCTCCCTATACGGTTCTTCCAGGCACAATACTTGCACCAAATTCAATTCTCTGGTTGTCTGCCTTCCTCTCTGTTGATATTAAATAAAATCCCCATACTACTAATTCCCTTTTGAGCTCTGTTAAGTAACGCAGTCCACAGTTCCTATGCTTGGGTTTAATTAGTAAATTATTTCATCAAGATCTTTCAACTTCAAAAATTCATCTCACAAACGTAAACAGAGTCTAAATAACTTTAAGCATTTATTAAGTAAATTTTAAAATTCAGGACAGTAACAAACTAGTTCTAAACATTAGTCACAAATAGACAGATTACTTGGGAATAACAAGTGTACTTCTTTGCTACTACTTGTCTTATTTGTTAAAAATAGAGCTCCAACAGCATGCCAAGCACTGGTGACATATAAGGCTCAGTTCCTGCCCTTGAGGAGGTCAGTCAAGCAATATTAAAAAAAAAAAAAATTTGCATAAAGCACAGCAGGAACCCTTCTAAGGGAACACTTTTATTTGAGTAGGAGGTCACGTCTACCTGACTCCAATTACAGACTCAGGACATAGTCGTAGGTGGACTCATCTCTCACAGGAAT